ATTCTATAATTTATATATAGAGTAATATAATTACCAATCAATCATATGATCTGATATTTGTTAGACCATAGAATCATAAAATATAGTCACACTATACATAGGCTATAACTTATGAAATATATTTTATGCACTTTTTGAACAAATAGTTGTTTTGTTTGATATCATAGTCTTCTTGAAGTGCATTATTTCGGACAAATTATATTCAATATAAAAACTGATAGAAACTTAGTTTCCGTCCAAATAGTTGTTTTGAAATTAAATAAAAAATGTTTAAAAACGAAACAATGTTCATTATTTAAAAAAACTTTCTAAACATTGGTTAACAAAATATGAATGTTGATCCTTCAGTGAATCCATTAATTGTTTTATTTCATGAAATTCAGGACTTGTGTTGATTACAACAAGTTATCGAAAGTTTAGATTCCCATGTAATCTCCAAAATAATGGGCAATTAAATGACAAGATTTTGATAATAAAATGATTTTTATTTGTTTTGCGAATTAAGGCTCTTTTTATAACCAGTTTGTCAACTTATAAATGGCTAAATTTAATATATTTTTAAATATCGAAAATAACATGATTTAAACACTTTTTATAATCTTATAAATAATGTAATCAATTCGAGTGATGAAAAATTAAGAGGCTTNTCGCTGTGCGAAACTCTTTTGGTGGCAATCGGACGGATCAGTTGAGTGACAAATGGCGTCGAAAGCGAAGAAGTCGTCGTCGGGTGCGTCGACGGCCACGACAACCATCACGAGCTCTGCCGGAGAACAGGTGTCGTCCAGCGAACGACCCGTCAGTCCTCTGTCGCCCTCAAGACTGTCACGACTGCAGGAGAAGAATGAGTTGATTGGTCTGAACGACCGGTTGGCCAACTATATTGAACGCGTGCGACAACTCGAGGTCGAGAACAGCCGTCTGTCCGTTCAGATCCAGTCCAGTCAGGAGACCGTCACTCGAGAGGTCGTCTCCATTAAGACGTTATACGAGAAGGAGTTGTCGGACGCCAGAAGACTGCTCGATGAGACCGCTAAAGACAAGGCTCGGCTCCAGATTGAGGCCAACAAACTCAACAACGACTGCGAGGACCTCACCGTCAAGTAAACCACTTTTTATGTCACCTTTTGTTGTCTTGTTTTTGTTTTTTGTCTCTTTATTGTGTTAAAAATTAGCCAAAAATTATTCATAAGAAATAAATGACTAAAACAGTGGTTATTCTGAGCGATGATGTAATGAACGAAAAGAGCATTTCATTGAAAGTTTGCGAAAGTGTTGGCATTTGTATGACATTTAGCTATTGATTGAACAGCTCTTCACTCAATGCTTATTACTTTTATGACTAGAAATCCATTGAATTGTTTGTTTAGTTATGCCTTTTAAGGCGTTATACTAATTGCAGATTTGTAGTCCAATTTTCACTTTTATTTTTATGACTCCTGTGTTATTAAAAAAGACTTATCACTGAATTCACACATTCTTGTGATGTCATCACATTCTATGCGATTCTTATGAATCTTATATCTCTCGCCATAGACTTAATAAAAGAGATAAAGACTTATCATTGGCTGATAAGAGAATCAATAATTTGGAGTCAAATGTGGAGGAATTGAAGGCACGGTTGAATCAATCGATTGCTGATCGAAAGCGAGCTGAAGATGACCTCAAAGAAGCGAAATCAGACGTCGACAACATGGAGAAGCAGTTGGCGACTGTCCGCAAACAACTACAGGAAGAGACACTCCTTCGCGTGGATCTCGAGAATCGAATCCAGAGTTTGAAAGAAGACATTCAATTCAAGCAACAAATCCATGAGAAGGAGTTGGAAGAGACTCGAGTGACTCAGGAGACGGAGATCACGGAGATGGTGAACGACCAGATCAGGGAACAGTACGAACAACGACTCGCCGAAGAGCTCCGGGAGTTGAGGGAAGAGAACGACGCGCAGCTCAGGATGAATAGGGAGGACATCGACCGCAAGTATGAGAACCAACTCCAAGACCTGCGCAACGCCTTGGAGAAGAAGATCGGCACTTCCAATGCGTTGAACAACGAGTTCTCACAAATGAAGACCAAATACGAGTCGAATGTCTCGAAGTTGGCTCAACTCGAGTCCATGAATCAGTCTCTTGTGAACCGAATCAAAGACTTGGAGAGACTGATAGAGCAGGAGAGGGAGTGGAAGGAAAACGCATTGCACGCCAAAGACGACCAAATCAAGCAACTGAGAGACGAGTCCAAGAATATTCTCAACGAATACCACGACTTATTGGACATTAAGATTGCGTTGGATATGGAGATCAATGCCTACAGAAAGCTATTGGAAGGCGAGGAAAGTCGACTCAATTTATCGAGTCCTCAGTCGTCACCAATTGTTAGCTCCGGGAGTCGAGTGGTCTCTCCGCGCACTTACACTCCCAGAGGCGCCAAAAGGAAGCGAACTGTTTATCTGCAGGAAGAGGAGAATGTGGTGGACATTGTGGTGAACTCTAACGCCAAGTCCGACATTGAGATATCAGATCACGACCAGGAGGGCAAATACGTCAAGATCTTCAACAAGGGTGACAAAGAGGTGTCTCTCAGCGGTTGGCAACTCATTCGCAATGCTGGCGATTTGGACACACATTTCAAGTTTCACCGATCGATTGTCATTAAACCGAATCAAACCATAAACGTCTGGAGCTCTGACAGCAGTGCAGCGCACAGTCCGCCAAATGATATCGTTATGAAAGGCCAGACTTGGTTCACATCGGATGCCATGCAAACTACTTTACTCAACAATTCTGGAGAGGTTTGTCTTTGTTTGCATCCAAACCACTGAATGTGTTGTTAATTATTTGAATTGAATGTCAATATATAGGAAATGGCAACTCGAAAGACATCTAAACGTCTGACCAGTACTTCCGCTCACCGCTCTTCAGAGGGATTCTTGAGATCACAACAGGTTTGCCAATAAATTGATTAAACGTAAGTACAGTTGACCCCGTTTACTGTGAACCAATGCTTTATGTGAGTCGTGAGTCGAATCGTTCGCTTTCCTTAAATTTGTTGAAATTTTGTTTGAAAACTGTTTGTAAGAACAAACGCTTGAGTTAAATGTCATTTTGTGAGTATTGGCCAGAAGTCACACTAAACGGAATTGACTGTCAAATAGCATGTATTATAACTCTTGTGACTCTCTTTAAAGGTGGACGCACCGGGTGGTCAGGAGAGGTGTTCCATAATGTGATGCAACCAAAACACAATCAACCCGTTTTACAATAATTTACTTATATTTAATGTTTTAAGCCATACTTATATTCATATACAAGTAGTTTAGATTTGAATGCCTTTTATTTGCCATTATTTTCTAATTATTTTCATATAATCAATATATCTTCGGTGAAACTTTATTTGAGACTTCATTTAGAATATAAGGACTTTTATGATATGTTTGCAATCATTCATTAAGAGCTACACTATATTCTGGGCGGCAGTTGATTCTAAAGCCTCTTAATTTTTCATCACTCGAATTGATTACATTATTTATAAGATTATAAAAAGTGTTTAAATCATGTTATTTTCGATATTTAAAAATATATTAAATTTAGCCATTTATAAGTTGACAAACTG